GCCCGCTATGCCTCAGAGCTGCGGGAGCTGAAGCAACAAATGGTTTCCCAGCTGGAGAACCTGGATAAAGAGAAAGAGGCATTGAGAATGAATCTGGACAGCGTGGGTACCCGGGTGGACCGGGTTGAGCGTGAGCTGGACTACCTGGAGACTCAGAATGGAGCCCAGCCATGTGTTGATGTGGATGACAAACTGATAGAGCAGGAAGTGACGCTGGTAAAGGAGAAGCAGAAGGCCAAGTATTCAAAACTATCAGGTGAGATGTGGTGTGCTTCAATTGCATTAGATTAGTAAGACAACACGCTTATGAAAATGAACACTGTATTTTACAATGCGTTAGTCCGGCTCTTAATACTTTCGGACTCCCCAACCTGTCTGTGTCTCTTAGCTTCAGGTCCGTTTGTTTCTAATGAAGACATAATTCCTTAAAAAACACTCGCAAATAAATTCGTAGTTTGACTTTTAGAAAATGCTAAGCGATGTCCTAAAACAGATGGGCACTGTAGATTTTAGCAAATGTGGCTCAAACAGGAGAAAAAAGTGCATTTTTCAGGGACTATTTTAACTAGCGGATTGATACACATTTGGTGCTCCAGTTGGTATTTAGGGCAGCAGGTCAGCCTATGTGAGATTGATTTAATGTAAACTACAGTGCCCCTGAAAAAAGGACAAAATAAATCAATTAGTGGAGAAACATAACAAATGCAGATATTTCCATAAATGGCACAAGCGGTCAGTAAATGTTTTGACGAGTGTCATAATAATGTATATCACATGCTATGGCCTTCACAATCAACACATTTCAACACAATTTAGGGGGGGACTGACATTGCTGGCCTTTTATTTAATTTGTCAGCTAAATACTATGAACAAATGTAGCAAAAAAAGCTTTACTTTTCATCATCGTCCAACTTTTCTTAGAGCTGTAGTCTTCAGACTTGAAGAATTAACTTACAAACATGGGGATCCTCAAGTACTTGACTTGACCTTGTCACCACATGACTTAAAGTAGAGTAGTTTAACAGTTTGGGACATGCACTTATTTGTTTTCATGCAAAGAGCTAGATGAGAAGATCGATATCACTTTCAGGTCTGTTAGTAAAATATGAATCTGGAACCAGCAGCAGGTTAGCTTAGCTTAGCATAAAGACTGGGAACAAGAATAAAAAGCTAGCCTGGCTCTGTGCAAAGGTAACAGGTTCCACCTACCAGCACCTCTAAACTTGCTAATTAACATTTTATTTTTCTTGTGTTTAATCTGTACTCGAAAATCAACTGGTTGTAGTTCAATATGCTATACAACTTGTTGGCTGGGAGCAGTGACCTTCCTGGAGTCTCTCGTGTCTTTTTGGCAACCTCACAGTGACGACAAGAAGCTAGGCTAACCGTCTCTTGTCTGGCATGAACAGCCAGATATGGGAGTGGTATTGATCTTATTGTCTAACTCTTGATGGAAAGCGAATAAATGTATTTTGTAAAATACTGAGTTATTCCTTTAAAAACAGTTCTAAAATATTTCAACACATTCTCATCTCAGTGCGTCAATTACCGACGCTTTGTCACCCTTTCGTCAGTATTTAACACCTTGACAACGGGCTGTATATTTACATGACATCAACATGTAAACATTGTTAGCATGTCACTCTCATTTTCAGACTGCAGCGACATGATCTCCAGCATAAAAGCCATGAAGATCTTGAAGCGAGTTGGAGGGCCAAAGGGCATGTGGACCAAAGACACCAGCAGCGGCTCTGGGAAGGTCTATATTTTTAACGGGACAAATGAAGACACTGTCCATGAGTTTTCTTCTGTGCAAGACTTCACCCGCTCGCTGGGCATGTCACTGTCCAACAACCTGAAGCTGCCGTCGGCCTGGAGGGGAACAGGACACGTTGTCTACAACAGTAACGTGTACTATATAAATCAGGTTGAAGAGATAATGGTGGTTAAATATGACATGAAGAACAACTCTATGACAGACACCGCAGTGTTTCCAGTGCAGGACCATGTCTCGGTGTACGGCCTGACCCCCGAGACAGTGATGGACCTGGCTGTGGACGAGGAAGGCCTGTGGGCCATTTATGCCACACGGCAGAACGAGAGGCACATCTCTTTGGCTAAAATGGACACCAACTCGCTGGACATCGAGCAAATGTGGGACACAAACTGTCCGAGAGAGAACGCAGAGGCAGCGTTCATAATCTGTGGCACTTTATATGTCGTGTACAACACCCAGCAGCCGGGTCGCTCTCGTGTCCAGTGTGTGTTTGATGTCAATGACATGGTGACCAACGAAGACGCGCCACTGATTTACTTTCCAAAGCGTTACGGAGCCCACTCCAGTCTGAAGTACAACCCACAGGAGCAGCTGCTCTATGCCTGGGATGATGGCTACCAGATCCTGTACAAGCTTGTCATGAAAAAGAAACTAGAAATTTGAGCTAAATAATGCACTGCACCATCCTCCCACAACTTCCACAAACACAAACCCAATATCAGTACTATACCAGTGTTTTAGCTCCTTAACTACAAATCATGTGCACTTTATATCCCTGCAGACCATTTCTAATGCTTGCTGTAGATTGTGTAATTTGTCACTGGTTCTCCTATGGCATAAAAATTAACAAGCAGACTCCTGACACTCACTTTAACTGTGTAATCCAGTGACCCTCAGGTCTTTCTTTCTTTTTTTCAGTTTCATTGCTGTGATGTGGTGTATCAGTTTAAGGCCAGGCTTATTTGAAAAGTTACATACTACACATTGAACGAGGAACTTGATTTTCCTACCATACGGAAATGAATGGACAACAACGGGGGTAGGAGAAATACATTAAAAAATTGCAAACACTCCAACATACGATGTAAAATAGACAGCAGTGACATTAAGTATTGATTATTTGTAGTAAATTGGCTGAACATACAATATCACTGGTAAGTCTGAATCTCCAAAAGCCTAAAAAGGAGGAAAAGTGCTGAATTATATCTGTATACTTTTACACACTTTCAGATGTCAATGTTAGGTAAATTTCTAATTTTGTAAAGGTATTATATGTTCTCTTTATCTGAGGCACAGTTTCTCATTGCTGACAAACACGTTTCTAATCTGACTGCACTGCACTTCTGCACGTCATTTCTGTGTCTACTGGCACATCAACTTATTGTCCTGACCTGTGATCTCCTGTGCTACTTCCTGCTTCTAAAGGTGTGACTTGCTTCTTTTTGTTTATGCTACAAATATAGATACATCATGACAACATGTTTTTAAATCAGCATAATTTACCAGACCACGCTACATGTCGTTTTGCTGTCTGAGCACGTAATTCGTAACGTAATCTTGGTAACATTGCATAACAGAGCGCATGAAAGCACTCTTGTTTGTTGTTCAGTTTAATTCAACCTTAGGTCTCCCTCCTCCCCGTTCACGTGTGCCCTCCTGCACTCATTCACCCCCGGGGGAAGCCCCTGAGTTTAGGAAACAGGGATTTATAGGGAATCAAAGATAAAGTAACAGCATGTGTAGCATCTATAATAACTCTGTCTGAACGCAGGCTTTAGTGTTGGTGAACTAGTCAGTATTTAACATTTATTATATTATATAAAAGGCTATGCTTAGTTCAGAAGATAACATTAAGTAATTTCTTCTTTATTTATGCCTCAAATTTCATTACAAATTTCTAGTTTACAGATTGACAAAAAACTAACAATCTCATAATCAAAATATCTGTAGTGTTATACACTTATAATGCAACCACAACAATGTTGGCACTATGGCAGGCGACCTCAGAGCTGCAATGAATATAACTTGGATATTAGGACGCGTGAGAAACAGCTAGCTGGCTAGCACTGTTATATTTCTGTTTATGCATTATGTGCACGTTTCCCACAAGTCCAGCACCTAATCATTTTGTGGTGGTAAACTTTTCACTAAATGAAATCACCAAAATTAACAAAGAACACCACTATTTGAATTATGCCGCTCATATAATGCAATTGTTTATTAATTTATATCTGAACATATCTATTTCTTAATGTTTGCTTATATGCTTATTACCCCACAATCTTCTATTCCTCTTCCTGAAAATAAATGTCAACTCAACACCTGTTAACTCAAGGAGTCTTTTTCTATGTACAGGACTTCCAGATACAAATATATTAAAGCCACTATGTGTACAATATAAACATTATAGAGTTTGGCGCCCCCAAGTGTTATTATTGAAAACCACACTGACAATGCACATCATTGCTTTCTTTGTGATTCTTCCTTCCACTGTACATCTTTCACACTTGTTTCTTGAAGGTGAACTGTACTGACTGACGTCTATCTATGGCGCGACTAATAAAAACTCATTTAGTTGGAAATCTTTTGGTTGATTGGTTGTATTTTGTTGGAGCTGAGTTTTTGCTTCAACTGTTCTGTGGTGCTTTTCCCCCCCACTTGCAGGTCATTAAGCTATTAAATGAGTGTGAGAAATCATGCCATCCAGAGCTGAACCTCATACCCCAAATTCATTATTTACTTTTAATACATACTTGAACATTTTCATCTTGCAATCAATTAAATCGTAACTTTTGTCTAAACCTTCTATAATTTGAACACCTAAGTTGTTATTTTTTTTTTCCTTCACATAATTTGACTCTCACACGCTACATTTCAAATGACACATATTAAGCTGTTACTTCTAGAGGCTTTAACACAGGAGAAAATTAGGCCATCTATTTTAAAAGCTAACCAGGTTAACAAAGCCATCCCTCAAACTCATGAATGGAGTCTGACGAGGCACCGGCTGGAGAAAGGGCCTGGCCAAAGATTAATGAAGTGTAACAGTAATTGAATTTAACAATGTGAGACAGCATTTGACTCTGGTATTTCAGAAACTACTTGACATCATTGTTCCACTTGGCTCCAGACAGAAGAAAACACATTTCAGTATGCCGACCCTTCAAACGAAGCAGCTGTGGTGCAAACTTAACACCAAAATAATCCTCGCCTGAACAAACAGTAACAGTTATTTAAACAAGTTTATTTTTTCAAAACTGTAAATAAACAATATCCATAAAAACGGTTTGAATAAAATCTTGAGTAAGAAAGATGCGACGGCATTAAATTCTGTAAAATCTGAATTACAACAGGGAACATTTGAATATCACAACTGTATGTACAAAGCTGAGAGCTTCTGTTTGGTGAGTTATTCTGCCAGCCAACCTGAATGACCAATAAACGTGTTGAACAGCCAAAAGGTGCAGCTTTAAAATCTCTTCAAGATACTTTAGAACCAAATTTCTAATTCAACAGCAAGAAAATCAACCTACAAGAACATAATTGCAATCAGATGATGATGTGTGCTGTGTGACAACTTGTGCTGAGAGCCGCCACTCACATCTTTCATTCAGCTGCTGCTCAGTCTTCCAAAGCATGACATTTGATATTTGCACTATCCCACAAACTTATTCAATCATATTTAATTCAAAACTACTTGACTATTTGAATTTGAACATCCTAAAGCCAACATACTGTGTAAATTGGGAAATTTAATAACTAGAATGTGTCTACCTGACCTGCACTCTGTCAGAGGACCATCACAATCACAACATTTACATCAAAAATGGCAGTTGCACATGAATATGCAAAATAATTATACTGAAAAATATACAGGTAAATGTTCATAACTATTACAACATCTCTCAGGATGACAACTCTCGGGACATCTATCGTCTAGAAAGCTGGTTTTAGGTGTTTAATATCCATTAAGGGGTTCCAACGTATCTTGTAGTGTCCACTTTTTCTGTCCATTCCAGTCGCAGACATGAAGCGAGGCGGGGAGGTCCTTATTGCTCAGATATTGTTGGCATTAAAATGGCCTGATATTCTGCTTGACTCAAAGTCTCAGATGAGGAATTGGCATGGTGACGTCGCGGAAGAACCGATGTACAAGGGCGTTTTTGGCAGATAACCTTTTGTTTGGATCATAATTTAACATTTCCTGCAAGGACAAAAGCAGAAAAAGGAGAAATACTGTCAATGTGTCTAGAAAATAGGGTTGCAACTAATTATTTTCATTTGATAAAACCGATGAAACCTTTTAGACTAAGAAAAGAGAAAAACACCTGATTTCCCACAGCTCAAACTGATGTATTCAGAATGCTTGTTTTATTCAACAACAACAGTCCAAAACTTAAATATAATTTTTATACTAACATATACAACAAAGAAAGACTTCAAATTTTGATCTTATTTTCTTACAATGCTATTTCTATATGTACTTGTAGTCTGCATCTGGATCTTTATCAAAAAAGAGTGACAGACTGATGGGACATGAGTGCCTTAATGTGCTTCATATAAGAAAATAGCTTAAATGTTCAAAGCATTCATGGATCCACACTAGGACTTCTCGCTTGTTCCTTCACCTGTTAACCTTGTACCTGTTGCCTTTTCACAAAGTATAACAAAAATCTTTTTGTTTGTTGATCTTGCCGACTGACACACAAACAATCAAAGAGGCAGAGGTAACTAATGCTAAATGAATCTATGAATGAAAGACTAATGTTCTCACCCCAAGCAGCTCTCGTCCATCCTCATCAAGAAGAGGCACCACTTTGGACAATTCCTGCCTGGCCCACTTGGGAAAAGATGGTTTGTAGTCAGGCATCGATGTAACTCCGGGCCACACAGTCTCATCAGGTGTGCCCAAGGTGCGAAAGATCCGGAACAACTGATCGATCTCCGAGTCGCCGGGGAATAAGGCCCTCCTGGTGATCTGAACAGGTGACAGTGTGGAGAGGTCATGTTTGATCTATTGTGTATCACATGCAGGCATTTTTTATTCACAGTGGAGCTTGAAGGTGACCCATTATGCTTTTCTGTATTTTCTGTTATATGTATAATGTTACAATGTCAGATGTTCATGTTAACATGGCCAAAGCTTCAAATAATAAGATAAACGTATTTAAAGTGGTCATATTGTGCTCATTTTCAGGTTCAAAATCTTATTTAGGGGTTGTACCAGAACAGGTTTACATGGTTTTATTTTCAAAAAACACCTCATTTTTTGTCATACTGCACATTGCTGCAGCTCCTCTTTTCACCCCGTGTGTTGAACGCTTTGTTTTAGCTATGGAGTGATTCATCTTACCTCAACATGATCTTTATTGGGAATTGCACATGCGCAGTTCCTGGTTAAAGACTACTAGCCAATCAGAAACAGAGAAGGGCGTGTCCTGAGAAGCTGGTAAACATGGCTTTGGTTCAGCTGTATATGTTCCCTTTACCAGCTTAGCAACATGGACTGGAGCAAGAGTTTCAGAGAGGTGAGTTATTAATTTGTAACAAAAGTATCTTTCATCCATAAAGTTTTAACTGAGCTCTGTCTCTACATCACAGTAACAACTTTATGTCCATTGACTGCCTGGAGGGCAGCTAGTGTTTGGAAGGGAGAGAAGAGTGTGTGCTCTAGTTCAGTGTTTTTCCACTGGTGTTTTTGAGGGTGTGTCTGACAAGCCGCTTGCCGAGCATTATGACGTGTGTTTCACAGTGACATCACAGCAAAGTGTAAGTAAAGGCTGGACTAAAAACGAGCCGTTTTCAGGCAGTTCAGAGCAGTGCTTTCTGTGGGAGATGGGAACGCCCTTTGGGGTGGACTTTGGGCTTTTTCACTTTGCAAACCTATTACATGAACAGAGATATAACTCAATAAAGGAGAGGGGGAAAAGCCAAAAAGCATAATATGACCTCTTTAAAAAGAAATCCCCAAAATCCCTTTGAGTAAAAACCTCAGATTACACCATGTTTAATAGGTCTCCTTTAATGTAAAAGATGAAACTGAGATCATTACCATTTCAGCAAAGATGCACCCCAGACTCCAGATGTCAACAGCTGTGGAGTAGTATTTACAGCCCAGGAGAATTTCTGGTGCTCTGTACCAAAGTGTTACCACCTGCAAAATATCACAGAAGCGAGTTTGTAATTAGGAAAACACGATTTCTCAGGAAAATGTGAAGCAAAGTAAGAAACCTAAAATAAATCTTCTGAAACAGTTCTGAAACATGCAGCCTAAGAATTAAAAGTATGCCGATGTTGATTGTATAGAGCGCTCAATGCACTCGGCTGCTGGGCATGGTGATGAATATGCACTTTAAATAATATAACTGTTTTTCTTAATGACAATCAAGGTTGACGTGCACGTTACCTCATGTGTGTATGTGCGGACAGGCACCCCGAAGGCTCTTGCCAGGCCAAAGTCAGCGAGCTTGATCTCTCCCTGGGCGTTGATGAGGAGGTTCTGTGGCTTCAGGTCTCGATGAAGAACCCTGTGAGAGTGGCAGAAGGCCAGGCCTTGCAGCAGCTGGAAGAGATAACTCTACAAACACACACAGAAACATATACACAGGTAAGTCAAATCACAACTTCATGAAGTAGACCCCATTTACTCTCAAAGACATGTAAGGCAGTCGAGCTGAGGCTTACCTTAATCAGAGGCTGTGGGATACCAGCGACTGAGGAGGAGTCCATGAACTTTTTTAAATCCTGATGAAGGAACTCAAAAACAAGGTAGAGCTTGTTCTCGGTGTGGATGACATCCCGCAATCTGAAACACGTTAACAGGGATGGATTAATTAAAAACAGACAGAATCTTGCAAGCAGGATTTAGCTTAAATAAGTAAACTTACTTGACAATATTTGGGTGACTGAGTTCTTTGAGAAGTGAGATCTCTCGGATGGCAGTGCTCGGTACTCCCTCTGTTTCCCTGTATAAAAAACATGGTTTATTAACCGGTGATGTTACTGAACTCGCTTACTAATTCCTGGTTATAATAATTTTGCCATTTTAACTTTATTATTATTTACTTCAGCTTGGTTGATGATTTCATAACATTTCTCAGTTTCACTATGGTTTTTAATTTAATTTTATTCTATTCTTTGCATATCTTCCCAGGTCAAAGCATTCACAACAAAAGCAACTTGAGAAACAAAATAAATTCACATCCACTGGAGAAAGATGACCAGAGCTGTACAATCAGTGGCTGCTCTTATAGTGGCACTGCTTTAAGCCCTATAAATATACCACTGCACCATCACTGCCAGTGCAGCCAACAAATCAGCCAGCCAGAGATAAGGGCAGCACTGCTCTTGCTTCCTGTAGTCTGCCACAAAGGTCAGAAAACACTCTGGATAAAAAGAGTCACTGACGCCACCTACTGAAGCCTGGGAAATTGAGTTTCTTGGCACAGCATAGGAGCAATTGTAAGTAGGTCTACACAAAGTATGCATGCACTTAACCAACAATCAGACCCACATTTAAATCTGCATTATACCAAACCTTTTTTAGCATGGCTTATAATGAAGCAATGTCTAAGTCACCTCTCATGGATGTGGACATGAGCCCTGAGCAGTTAAAACAATGACTTTTAGGAGGCCCCACAGATGATGTCTAACAACAGACATAACCATTTCTACATCTCCTTAATCATCCTGTGAGCCCACAGATGTATCTTGACCCTGAACACCAGACCGGTGTAACACCAAAATCTGTGACCAAAACCCAAACGACGATGTTTTCCTAACCATAACCAAGTACTTTTAGTACCTAAACATAACCAAACTGCAGCCTCTTCACATCGTCAACAAAGCCTCTGGCGCGTAACTTCCCATTTGGGTCACAGAATCTGAACAACTCAACGGAACAGCTTTTTTAAAATTATCTTTCATGTTTTGGTGTTGTAAGTTACTACGGTGAACGACTGCACTAAAATGTGAAAATGTAATTGTTTTCATACACACACACACAACATAGAGTAGTGTCTCAATGCAGTTACACTTTAAAGGCTGAGAAACACTCTTACTGTATTAATATCTGTGCTTTTTTAACGTTACACCAAACACTCCTGAAGTGATGGTAGGAAATTAGCTGTTTTCAATAATCGTGAGGCCAGAATGAGGGGAAAACAGGTTTCATCACATTTACAGCATAGAAAAAGCAACAGTTGGCTCCATTGTCGTTAGCTTGTCCTCCCGTGGTGCCCAGATGATAACCAACAACACTCATATGTGGACTTAACTTACGTGTCTAGCCTGATCTTCTTGAGAGCAACAGTTTCTCCGGTGACTTTGTTCTTGGCCTTGTAAACCACTCCATACGTCCCCTCTCCGATCTTCTCCACCTTCTGAAACGTATCCATTTCTTTTTTAAGACCAGGAGGTTTGTTGGTTGTTTGGCTAGTTAGTTAGCAGGACTCCCCTCTTTGTGTGAGCTAACAACTGCTCGGCGGCTACAGAAACGTTAACCAGCAGCGCGAGGACCGACATATAATTAACTGCTCCGCTGCCCTGGCTCAGGGTGGTCTGGGTCCACCACAACCTCTCAAGGCACCGGTCCTGTCTCAGGTCAGAGCGAAACAAATACAGACTGAGGGCGCCCTGATAACGATTATACCCGTAAATATGTGGCTCGGCGTGGCGGCTGCTTCTATGAGGAAAACGCTGAACCAACACAGCAGCGTTTCCCGCGTTCACCCGGGAACGTTCGTTTTTGTGTTCAAGACACGCCGACTGTTGTAGCCAGGTGGGGTTTCACAGTTTTTTCACATTGGGTCCTCAAAGGCTCCCTTCTTTTGAAAACGTTGTGTAAGAGACTGGTGCCGACGAGTACACTAAGTGTATCTGAATTTCAGTTCTGGGTTTTAATGTCAGTTGGTGCAAGTGTGCAAATGTGTGTTAAAACGGGATGACAAAGAAACTTTCAACAAACAAGCCGCGCAGGTCACATGGTGAGATGAAAACGATGATTACGTTTTACGTTATCACGGAAGCGGCAACAACAAAAAGTAGAGGTTTCTCTGAGGCTGTGTCCGAAATCACCCACTACTCACTATATAGTGAGCTCGCCATTTTGTAGTGCTGTCCGAATGTATAGTGATAATTATTATACTCTATATAGTCCACTCAATGTATCCCAGAATGCATTTTGAAAAGTAGTGTACAACCGATGGCCACTAACCAAGCCGTATATACCATCATGCAATGCGCTGATAGGAAAAAATGATTGTCCGACGGCAATGACGTAATTAACGGCGCCGAAATAACGATCGGAGTAGTGTCCGAAAGTGTTGTTTTAATAATGCGAGTGAGCTCCCTATATAGCGCTCTGCATACAACTCCCTACATAGGGGGTAGGGACTAGTGAATGAGAGGGGATTTCGGACACAGCCTGAGTTTTTTGCCCTTTCTATTGAAAGAAAAGAACAAGTAGCCTACACACTCCTTACACTACAAACAAAAGTGCACATTAACAGCAATTTTATGTTAGCAGTGGTGAAAGGTAACTTATACAGTGCTTATGTACAATTTTGAAGTTTCCATTTTCTAATACTTCTACAATTCAGATAATACAAATGTAATCAATAAATGATTATGTATTATAATAGGAAAAGATTAAGGGTGTACCATGCCTTTTGCCCAATGTCAGGGATTGGCTCCAGGCCCCGTGACCCTGTGTGCAGGATGAGCGGTTGATGATGGATGGAAGTTTGAATGCACAACTTATGCTTCTAACAGTATTTTTACAATGTTGTGTTGCTACTTTTATTAAGTAGAAGATATGAGTACTCCCTCCACTAGTGTAGGTTAGTGGGTAGTTACATGTCACAATAATATGTTAAACAAAACACGAGTCTTTCTGTTTCAAACAGTTTTTGTATATATTAAAAAGGAATGAGTCAATAAAACAATGCATTTTACCTGTCAACACAAAATACAACATAAGAAAAAAAACAATAAAATAGCAACAAGTTTACAAAATGACAAAAAAGTCAATTTCTTTAAATACCTAACGTAACTGATATGAATTTTTGAAGAAAACAGAAGTCTTGTGGTCTAGTATGTTGGTTAATGTCAAATAATGTAATAAATATCTGTATTTCTCAGTGTATTGAAGAGGACACAATGAAGGAGAAACAGATCAAGGTACAAGGTAAATGTATTTGTCATAGTAAAACATGGTTATAAAATGATATGCAGTTTTTGCTGCAAAGCAAACAATATATACAAAAATAAACTATTTTTCATGGTGCAGTGCTTAGGATGAATTTAAGAGTCTCACAGTCTTTCGGTGAAAAGCTGCTCTGCAGTCTGGTGATGTGACAGCAGTGTATCTCTTGCCAGACAGCAGCACAGTCAACAGGCTGCTGTCTTTTAGTATCCTATAGGCACCTCACTGATATCACTGATGCTCGGGAGAACAGTACCAATGATCTTCTGAGCAGTTTTAATCACCTGCTGCAGTGCCCTCCAGTCCTGGGCCGTGCATATCCCATGCCAGCTTGTGATGCTTCCATTCAGGATGCTTTCTATTGCTCCTGTGTAAAAGCTGACAAGAACCTGTCACGGAAATTTTGCATTCTAGAGTTTCCTTAAGAAATGCAGCAGCAGAAGATGTGAGGTGACCATGTCAGGTTCTCTGTGATGTTGATTCCCAGGAACTCTAAAACTGTTGGAGGGTGTGTCTTTATCTCCTTTTTCCTAAAATCAAATTTTTTATGCTGGTCATCACGTGTGTGACTTCAGCCGGGGGACGGGCTCTGCTTTATATAATTTTTAAGGCATTCGAAATTAAATGTGGACCGATGTTATATTCTATGTCCTTCCATTACCTTTTAACACTACTATCAATATGATTATTCCCTGCTTTGTTAATATTATATTTTTTAATTTTATAATGGCAAATGATTTGATTTTGGCTTGCTATGAAGAAAATTACTAAAAGTTGTATTCTAATTATTAAATAAATCCTGGAATATTCCTGGAGCACAACTAATAGTAAAATTCTATTGCCAATGACCCTGTCTGAAATACAACATTAATATGTTTCAAAAAATCTCAGGATACTACACAGTTGAAACTGATGTGGAAAGCTAATGGTTGACTATTTGTGGTATGTTAAGTCAGGTGCTCTGTGGGAAGGATTTGTTTCCTCCTGAACTCACAATAGCACATGAGGGATCACATGAAGTGCAGCCTGAGCAGTCTCTCAGACATGAGATAACATCCCCTGAAAACCACTTATCCCTGTGGTAACAAATCTCATAATGACTACTATTATGAATTCATCTACTTTTTTTGAATTTCATCACCTTTTGTAACTTTTAATTTTACCCTTTATTTGCTGAGGAAATAAAAGGAAGCTATTGATTTGCCGTGCGCACTCTCATCTTGTGATGCCAATTCATACATAGCTCCAAGGTCAAGAACAAGCATGACTTGAGTTTTGATCACAGTTCTCCCCTCTACTCTCTCCCTCCTAAACCAGACTTAACGTACAACTTTTTCATTTACACTATGCAGAAAGGATCCACTGATTTTCCAATTATACAGAATATTATCCTGCTTCAGGCCTGTATTTTACTTTGACTTCATTTGAATAATTTACATTCGCATTATCCATCTTTTCTCCGTTTTAGGTTGCTGTACGGTCTTCATTGGAGATGCTGCATCAACAAAACATTGTTAGCTCAGGTGAGAATAGAAAGTTTAATAACAATGTCAAAACAGTTATTGGAAAGGACAACAATAGTTAAGAAAACAGTACTCATATCTGTTCTTACAGTTGAACAGAGGGGGCGGTGCCAGTTTGCAGACTCCCAATGATGTCAGAGGTGAGAAGAAACTTTATGGTAATTCAGGTCTGAGGCTTTCTTAAAGAGACTGAGGAGACGTTCATTAAGTCTGTCTGGGAGTTGTGTTGGGGTTCAGGACTGCTGGGTGAGGATCAGGGTTCAGAGAGAAGAGACACACAACCAAATCCAGGATGACGACTCTGACACTGGTGCTGCTGGTTTTGGCTTTTACATCTGCCACTGCGACAAGTGAGTACATCTGAAATGACAGACAACAACCTTTAGTTAGCTTTTATGTGGTTTTATGTTTGTTTCAGTTGTTAACGGATAAATGTTCTACTTTCTAAGACTAAATATATAGTTTTATATGTAATTATCAGTCCTGCAATCAAAAAAGTGAAATCATTTTTCAAAGAACGTTTTATTCCACCAGAAAACAACTTTTTTTGTCGGTTTTGTCTCATTGCAACTACATTGAGCTGCGTCTCATTTTATGCAAACGTCGAAGCAAGAGAAACTGCAAAGGGATAAAGTAGAAATACTCTTGGAACAATTCTTCTCTTTAGTTTCAAAAAAACAAAGTTGAAACACTGAGGATGGGTCTAAATATTTTGTTAAGATGGCACCTTTGTTTGTTATATTAGACTTTTATACCAACACAGTTTAGCAACAGATTACATGCCAATTTTACACACACACATACATAGACACACACTCTACTAGTTGAGAAAAAAATGAGTGAGCCAGTAGTCTGAGACGCCTCATTCCTTTCACTGGGATTACTGATGGTGCTACTCAGCTGACAGTCACATGAAAAGGATTGAGGGGGATTGCAGGTCGTGTGACTCCCACCACCAAGAACCCTGACACATCTTAACCCTCCTCAACGCCAAAAAACATGGACCTGCTCTCATTCACATAAGCATCTCTATCATTGTGTTCAAAACCTGCTTGATTGTCCCTGTTTTAAAAAGCAACTCTACTGAAATATGTATATACAATCTGGCACAAACAAATGTATATATATAAATCAAAATGTTTTGCAAATGTAGCTTTACTGGAAAGTCTTATCGATTGTGTTTGTTATTGATGACACTTGGGAGAATAACATGAGTTGCATGATGTGGCTTCTTTTCCGGAAGAGTTTGTAATACTATCTTTTCCAGAGCCGAGAAGTAAGTTCACAAGTTACCGCTCATGGAACTCACGGATGTATCCGGTGTGGAAAGATGGAGACCGGAGATTTAGGAACTGTTGGTTTGGTGAGGCTCAATCTTTTATTATTTCTTAAATCAGAAATGTTATTAAAAAAAGCATCTCTGCCGCTTAAAGGGACAGTAAGTGATTGTAATCCAATACACCTTTTGTTAAAGTCAGACAGTATTTTCTGTTCTGTGTGCTCTGAAAAAAAATCCACCTTGGCCCTGATAAATGGGATACAAAGAAAATGGTGTGACCCTTGCCCATAACATTGTTTCAGCCAAATAGCAACAGGTGGCGTTAGACAGCACAGTGATACGGGGGCAGTGGGAGAGAGAGTTCTATACACTGGCACATTTGAAAGTGGTATTCTCCATGCACTGCGAAGTAGGAGAGATGGTCTAGAAACAGACAAAGAGGAAAAAGTCTAAACAGTATAATCAGAGAATAAACTTTTATGACTAGGTAAAGGCAAAGGTGTTTCAATGCTGGAGAAAACTCAGAGATTTGAAATATGGGGTGCACAGGGAGGACTGAAGGGAGGGGTGTCTTTGTTTGGCAGATGAGTTCAAATATCAACAATCCTTCTGCAGAATCACTTACTTCCCCTTTAATCTAAATATATTAAATAGTGTGTAATCTTCTTTCCAGGTGGTGAAGTAACTTTTGATCTGAAAAATGATGCACCCACTCTGACTGGAGCAAGAGCAACCTTCTCTATTAATCTTAATTTCCCAACAAACCAGACAGTGCTCTCTGATGGGCAGGTGGTCTGGGCGCAAAACTGCACAATCAAAGGTAAGACAATCTTTCCAGAAACAGCAAGTAACTCTGCGGAGGACAGGTACTGCAGGTTACTACGTAGCCTATTGTGCTCAAAAGCAGTAACAAGCAGTTATGAACAGGTAGCTGATCAGTTTATATCAGATGTGACGATAAAATGATGTTTATCTCCTGAATTAACTTTTTGACATGGTGTTTCCTAAAGAAATAAACAACTTACAGACACTTTGTTTTTATTTCTAGAATTTCCATATAAAGAAACTGGTAAAAATAAAATTCTGTTAATTACCAGTTAACTGACAATGTTTTATAATCAATAAACCAATGATTTTTTTTCTAAAATTAAACACTGGTTTCATGATAGGACAAAAGACAACTTATTCTTATTTTATTTCACCTGTGTTGCCTCATATTGATCTAAAATGCCATGTATCTGTTGTTATTGATGTTGGATCTATGGTTGTTTTCTTTTTCAGGACAACAGTATCAGGAGGGTCAGGCTGTGTATCCTGACCAGGACACCGAGCAGACCGGTGTTTTCCCTGATGGCACACCGTTCCCAAGGAGGCAGAACAGGAAACCCCACTACGTGTTTGTGTGGAAGACATGGGGTAAATATATTTAATTTAATAGTAATTAGTCTGCAAAAACAGGCCGCTCAGTAGCTGTAATTAATTCTGCAGTAGTAAAATTGTGCTTTTTAGTAAAAACCTTTTCTATGCTAAATGATAAGTGAATGCTAAGATGATCTGCTGTTACATTCTATTAGAAAAAAATCGTCATCACTTTTACATCTGAAGACCTTCTTGAATTGTGCCGTTAACTCACGAAAATTATCTTTTCATTAACTTGAATAATTAGTATTATGTGGATTAAATTAGTGGTGCCATGTAAGAAGTTTCATTGGCACAATAGCTTCACTTTACCATTTTTAGTTTTAGTTCATCAGGCATACCGGTTTTGGTGAACAAGTCATGAAGGCTAACATTATTCAAATGAACATGCTGTTGTTACAATAGCTGATCACCTAACCAGCTGCCCCAGACCACAGGAGCAGTTAACCCCAGGATAAGGGAGCTGTTAGCTCCAGGATAGCTGTTAGCCCTAGGCCAAGGGAGCTGTTAGCCCCGGGATAAAGAAGCTGTTAACACCAGGCCAAGGGAGCTAATGGCCCCGGGTTAAGGGAGCTGTTGGCCCCAGGACAGGGGAGCTGTTAGCCCCAGGATAGCTGTTGGCCCCAGGATAAGAGAGCTTTTAACACCAGGCCAAGGGAGCTGATGGCCCCAGGATAAGGGAGCTGTTGGCTCCAGGATAAGGTAGGCCCATTTATACTCCTGCGTAGGGTCTACGTGCATACCTATGCCGTAGGCTACGCACGTAGCCATGCATTTATACTTGTGCGTAGGTGTGTCCATCATTCTGCAATTACACCCCCAAACGCTCGTCGGCAGTAGTGCTACAGTGTCCACTGTGTTGACTTTTCCCGGCAGAGCAAGCTAACTTCTGTTTTAGCGCTCGGGGTAAAATTGTAAACGTGTGGCTGGTGTAGCCGTTTGAAATGTTACCGACCGAATGGATCATATTCTGATAGCGAAACGAGTCATTTTGCTTGGGTTGCGATGGTCAAATATATTGATTCACTGTGTTAGAGCCACCGTTTTTGCCGCTAGTAAATGTTACTTCAAAGCGCGGGGTACGTCCAGTCGGCTCGGAGGCATTGCGAGGCTACCCAGCTGACCAATCACAGAGGTTACGGTCCGCGTCGACTCGACGTGTAGTTACATTTTTGAGGAGGTGCACGTCAGGCGACAGCGTAGTCTCTGCGTAGCCCCGTAGCCAACGCCGTCACCTACGCAGAAGTATAAATTGCACTTTAGCCCCCGAACAAGGCAGATGTTGGCCTCAGGATTAAGGCAAGGATTATATTTTCCTCGCCTACGAGTACACGAGGGTCCGCTAGGGTCCGCGTTACGAAAAAGAACATTGTCAGAAGGGGTATGCGAAGAGTCTGTGTGGACGTCCGCGTGCCTCCTGTTTTTTGTGACTAGCGCTACCAGGGCACCAACCAATCTACTGCGCATGTGTGAAACATGTCCGCCAAGCTGACTGCAGAAAGAAGTATAAACAGAAGTAGTCTGCGTCTGCGGGGTCCGCAGTTGTCCGTGTCCGCTCCAGAGTATATCTGAGGCTTAAGGGAGCTGTTGGCCCCAGGATAAAGGAGCTGTTGCCTGCAAGATAGGGTAGCTGTTGGCCCCAGGATAAAGGAGCTGTTGGCCCCAGGATAAGGGAGTTTTCATACTGGCAGATTCTAAAGCTCCATAGCAGGCTTAGCCCCGAGTTTTCAGGGTTATTGCCACACTGTGGGCGTGTCTGCTCTGCTCTGTTTAGTTAGTTTCAGTCACTTTTGTTATTATTATTATTATTACTGTCATTTAGTCTGTGTTTTGTGTTTCAGTCCTGTCTGTTGTCTTGTGTCTAGTTTACACTGTGCTTTGAATGTTTTCTTTGTTTCTGGGTTTTGGTTCTTGATTCTAAGATTTGGGTTTTGCATCCACTTTTTAGTTCTGTTCTGTTGAGTTTAGTTCACTGTGAGTTTGGTATCTGTTATTTAGTCTGGGTTATTATTCACCTTGTTATTATCTGTCAGCTAGTGTTTAGTGGTGTTTGGTATTTTCCTTATTTCCATTCTGTTCCTTGTTGAGTGTTGTCCTGTTTCCTGGTTAGATCCGTCTCTGTTCCCTACCCCGGTCTGTGTAGAAGTTGGTCCATGTTTTCTGTTTTGGAGTTTTGTTCCTTGTCTTGTGTTCTCTGTTTGGCCTTGTTTATTTCATTGTTCATTCGCAGGTTCTGTTTAGCTCACTTTGTATCTGTCTGTCATATATCTTAGATTTAGCTCTGCATTTTGGTTCTGTGTTTAGTGTCCAGTAATCTAGGTTATGTCTGTTCCCCCAGTTATCACTCTGTCTGCCTTCTGTTCATTCCCTGTCCAGTCATTGTAGCGTGTATACGCTCTGTCTCATGTCGTAGTGTCTTGTCGTGTTTAGCCTGCCTTGCTTGTCGTGTCTCCCTGTTTCCCAGCTTTCTGGATTATTTTCCCTTCTTGGATTTTTCTGTTGGATCACATAGTTTGTTTGAACTTGTTATTATTTTGGATTACCTGGAATCAGTCACTCATTGTAAGTGTGCTCGTTTTTGTTTGTTAATAATCCTTTTGAACTGTACCTGCTCTGCTCAGTGTCCTGCATGTGGGTCCACCAACCTTTCAACCACACACATCCTGACAGTTATCCTCTGAAAATTGACTAAACACAGGGCTAGAAGGTTCCAGTGTAAAAAGGGGCTAAAGTAAACAGAAAGTAAGCATAAAAAAACATTAGTCTTGGGCTTTGGTTAACTTTTGATTAACAATATATGTGTGAATGAAAAGGGGCCAAGTCATAGTCAACTCTTAGCCCAGGCCTAAGAATGTGAAAAACCCTCACCAGTAAATGTCACAATGTTTGAAGACATTCTTTGTTGTACTTTATCACCATTACTATAGTATCTCATGTATTAAGTGACACCTGGAGTGTTTCCAAAATGTTTGAACACCCTAAATAATCACAATGTTGCTCTATTCAAGGGCGTTACTGGCAGGTGGCAGATGGACCATCGTCCTCCCTCTCTGTCGGTACAGAAAACATCCCTCTGGGCTCCTACAACATGGAGGTTGTCATTTATCACTGCCGTGGACAAGACAAGTTCATCCCTCTCGGCTATGCCTCCACAGTCTTCAGCATCACAGGTGACCTATCAAACATTTTCTAATCAAACTCGAGGAAAAGGATTCTACAATGTTTGTATTTGTTTAAAAGCATTCATCGTAACAGATCTACAACTTCTGCTCCATCATCAGACCAGATTCCCTTCACCATATCACTCACCCAAATCAATGATGTCAACCAGGACGACCAGAACTTCATCCAGAACCGAGCCATTGCTTTTAGCATTAAGCTCCATGATCCCAGCCAGTATCTCAACAGCGCTGACATCAGCTTCAGCTGGGACTTTGGTGACAGTTCTGATACTCTGATCTCCAGAGACCTCACTGTCACACACACATACCTCACAGTTGGGACCTTCAAACCTCAGGTGGTTCTCATGGCAAGCATCCCCAATGGCTGTGGAAACCCCACTGCTGGTGAGATTTTAAACTAATGATTCTTTCTTTTTTATCTTTTTATACATATTTATTTTCCTATAAGATGTCTGGACTAAGTTTTGCTCAGTTGTTTAAACTTTTTTCAGTTGTCCCCATTGATGCATCTGCTGTACCAGCTGTTGTTGTGATGGCCTCCACCCTTGCAGCTGTCCCAGCAGCACCAGCCGAGGGAGGAGATGCAATTGCTCTGGATGTTGCTGCTTCTGACGCCACTCTGCTTGCTGCTTCTGTGCAGTCAGCTGAAGCAGACACAAACCCAGAAGATGGAGAAGCAGTTGATGATGCAGACACAGAGGCAGTAGAGGTTGCCTCAGTAGCACCTGCAGGAATCGATGCAGCTGTTGTTCCAGCGGAACAAGATCCCACCAGCGCTATTGCCTCTGCTGCCCCTCTTGCAGAGGGAGAAGAAGCAACAGTTGAGGTCGCTGATGCTGTCACTGCTGACCCTGCTGCAGATGCAGATGTTGCTGCCGAGGACACAGCAGGTGAGGTGGCCGCTGCTGCCTCTCTCGCACCTGCAGCTGAAGAGCCAGCAGATGCTGTTACAGCTGCTACAGATGAAACAGCAGTGGTTACAGATGTAGCTGAAGAAAATGTGGCTGTGATTGACGCTTCTGCTTCAGTCGCCCCTGTAGCACAGGAAGAAGAAGGAGCTGTTGAGGTTGCTGACGCTGTCACTGTTGCTCCTGTAGCAGAAGCAGCTGTAGAGCAAGAAGTTGACGTTGTGGCTGCTGATACTGTTGATGCTGCTGCTGCTGCTGCTGATGTTGATGCGGCTGCTGCTGCTGCTGCTGATGTTGATGCTGCTGTTGCTGCTGTTGATAATGCTGCCATAGAGGTTGTCCAAGTTGTAACAGAAGCCCCTGTTGATAATGTCATAGCCCCTGCTGCCACTGAGACAACAACTGTAGAAGAGGCAGAACCAGCTGATGTTGCAGTACAGGCAACTGAAAATGAGGTTGCAGCTACTGCAGCTCCTGCAGGTGAGTACCTACTGTAAACTAAAACAAGTATACACAGAATAAACATATCAAGCGTGTGTAACAAAAGTATTCTAACGAAATGTTTCTTATTTTTCCAATGCAACCAGCGGGCGATGAAGTAGCTGTTCCAGCCGAAAGTGAAGTTCAAGCAGAGGTGGAAGCAGATCCAGCACAGGTTGCCCTTGTTCTGGCTAAAAGACAAGCTCCAGAGCTGACGGCTGACTGCATGATCTACCGTTATGGTTCCCTCGCCACCACTGTAGATGTTGTCCGTAAGTCAATATAGTTTTTTTATTTATTTATGGCAGTTTAAATCTAAACAGATAATATTATTCTTTAATAGAAACAGTATTATTTAATAGTGTGACAATCTTCTTTTCTGTCTCTTTTAACCCTGCAGAGGGTATTGAAAGTGTAGAGATTGTTGAGGTGTCCAACGTTGTATCAGTGGCAACTGAGTTGGATCAGAATGCTGTGGACATCACCATCTCCTGTCAGGGAAGGTGAGCAGTGGCATTCATAAATTACACAAGCTAGCTGAAAGTTTAGTAGAGTTGTTTCCATATTTGTTAAATTTGATCAGTCTAGAATTACACAACTCAAACATATCATCCTCATTCATGTTGCGAAGATGCTATAAGATTGCACTGCAACCATCTGACAAATCAAAACTGTCTAAAAGCCAAAACTGCTGGTTTAAAACCATTGTTGATCTGTTAAGAACCAGGTTTTATTGATTCCTTCAATATTCAACCTACTGACACAAACTCAGATTCAGAAAACCAAGATAGAAAAACTGTGGCAACTGTTAATTGATTTCACCTATTCACAAAACAAATCTCATCTCTGGTGTCACAAAATGGATTATAACTTCATGCTAACATGTCTAATCAATTCAGTTCAATTCAATTTGATATAGCGCAAGTTCACAACAAAACAAAAAACTGACGTGAAAACAACAAACTTGTTGCACTTTTCATACAGAGCAGGTCTAGGCCGTACTCTTTGTAATATTATATTACAGAGACCAAACAATTCCCATCATGAGCAAGCAGTTGGTGACAGAGGCAAGGAAAAACTCCCTTTTAAGAAGCAGAAACCTCGAGCAGAACCATGGCTCAGGGTAGGTGGCCATCTGCCTCAACCGGTTGGGGGTGAAGGAGAGAGAGAGAGCGAGAGAGGGGTGAGGGGTGGTGGTGGTGGGTGGCAGCCAATACAAAAGTAGGAAAGTAGGAACACCCTGTGGCGGTTTTGGGAGGGAGGCAACAGGGGCCAGTGCCCCTGTAACACAGACCTTGGACCCCCCTATGGCCCCCTCTGACCAAAAAGTCTACCATTATAGTCTACTATATAGTAATTTATCTTCCTTGGCACCATATGGCGTTGATGTGAAGTCGGAACAAATGTGTCTCAACTACTGAATTGAGAATGTCTAAACAAAACAAGCATATAGTTTCCCTCATAAAGCAAACACTTATTTCGCGATAGTCTGACGATGTTATAACAGACCGCGGAGTTGATCAATTAGTCATCCATGTTACTGTTTGGAAGCTAGATCTACACAGACTGTCACCTTTTTCAAGTAAGCTGCTCCTACAAATATCTACGCCATCGATACTGTAAAATCAAGATCACTGTAATCAGTTTAACACATTTCTCGCCTCAACGTCAATCTACTTGACTCGAAATGTATATTAAACTGAATGCAGCATTATAGACAATATTTTGTCCTTGTAATCCATGTTTCCATTGCATGGATATCCTTTGGATATTGCTGGAAATTGTTCTCAGTCCCCCTCCTTAATTTTAATTTATTTAATTTTGTGTATTCTTCATCATGACTAATAATAGGGGTGAATATGGAGAAGTTTCTATTTTCCTTGCAAAAGTTATAGTGGGATACATATTATTTCAGACTGTATGTGATGTTTTCAACCTGCCATAAAACAGATCCCCCCTTTATAATACAGAGATGATGGCCTACTATCAAGTATTTACTTTTGTGTATACTTTACATCAGGACTAACAACAGGGGTGAATATGGAGACGTTTGTTTTTTCCTAGCAAAAGTAATAGTGGGATACAAAATACAAACTGGGATCCAGAGAATGTGTAGTACACTAGATTTAACACTGATCATTAAGCCTTACAAAGACGTGTTGCATCAAAGAATATACTGCAAGTTGAGCTAAAGTTAACAGGAATGGGTTTTTTTTTGAGTAATGTAATTTAATAAAAATATAACTAAGTTACTGAAAAGATCCTGTTATAACTGTAATAATAACTGTAAGTTACTGAAACATACTAAAACATTACATTATACACTAAACAAGACATTCTGAAAACTTGAACGTTGCCTTTGTCTCTTTTGTCCCGGATTTAATGTGCCCCTCTGACAAAACAACTGGCCCAAGCCTGGCCCCCTCAATAAAATTGGTCTAGAACCGCCACTGGGAACACCTGCATGGTAATGGTCTCCAAATGGAAATAAAGTGGCTCCAACTTAATGCATAGAGCACACAGAGAGGATCATGATGTTCACTTTCTGTTCAGCTTAAGTGTATTGATTTGTTTTGACGTTCTTTATAACTAATACATAGATTTTCTTCTAGTTAGCCTACGCTGAAACTGTGCTGTCTAATGTCTTGTTATGTATAGCACAAAAAACATGATTATGAAAATGGCATATCCATTTAGGATTGTTCTTCTTGTTGCTATGTATCTGCATCTTCACTATCCTTCCTTCAGTCTGCCAAGTGAGGTCTGCACAATCATTTCTGATGCTGACTGTATCACACCAGTGGAAACCATCTGTAATGCAGCCACACCCTCTCCAGACTGTGAAATGATCCTTCGTCAGGTCTTCAATGACTCTGGAGTATTTTGCATCAACGTATCCTTGACCAATGATGTCAGTCTTGCTGTGGCAAGTGCCAGAGTCAATGTAGCAGTAGGTGGGTGGAAGAGATTTATTTATAGCCACTAAAATATTTTATCTATAGATGATCCTCTCATTTGTATAATGTGCTTCAATTTCAGCCTCTGGTGGTTCCCCAGCTGGAACTGCAGCCACAGTTGTGGGTGTTATGGTTCTCGCCTGTGTTGTCTGTTGTATTGGTTTAATGTACAGGTGAGTACCTGCTTGATCAATCTAATTTATTTAGGGTCTAATGAAAAGTAAAAAAATGAAACTACTTAACTAAGTCAACAACACCAATTTCAATGACCTTTCTCACATTGGATTTGAATCTCACAGGTGATAACATTAATGATGGCTGTGTTAGAAGCAATGCCAGTAAGCCAGCATGTACAATATCAAATCATATTTTCAAGTGACCAGCAAAACCGAATCATCAGCAGCAAATCATTTACATATTCAGTAATATGAAGAGAAGGGGGGCAGGGATCCCTGTGGAACGCCCAAACAGGCTTCCTGTTCAGAGTCTGTACAATAGTGTTTTGAGCTCACAACAGCATGCTAACATGCTAACAATGACAGGGTAATAGTTACCATGTTCACCATCTTAGTTTAGCGTGTTAGCATTACTAACAAGCACTGAACTGAATTACTGTCTTGTTCTACTCTTGCACGTATTTGCTCAAAAACCAAAGTATTAGACAAAATGAAATTTTGACCTTATGATGGCGCTAGATGAGAAATTAAGTGATCATTTAAGTGATTACATAACATCCTCTGGGGGGCCTGAATGTGGGTATCAAATTTCATGGGAATCCACACGATAATTGTTGAGAAAAGCCATTAAAACCACAAGTTTCAACTTTATGGTGGTGCTAGAGGAAAGATCAGGGGATCACAAAAGCCAGTAGCATCCATCCTCTGGGCACCATGAATGTCTGTACAGAAGTACAAATGCATGTTGAGATGTTTCAATCTGGAGGATGGATTGACAACAGACATAATGTAACTCAGATTTTTCCTGCAAAAATCATGTTAAAATAAAGATAAAATCGGGAAGCAAAAACAACCATCTCACACAATAAAATTAACACTGATTAAATTACAAGAAGCAACACAAAAAGCAAGCAAGCAATATCCAGGTGGAAGCAAAGAGCATGAGCTACAATGTAAGTTGCAGCCATGAATGTGAATAGTGTAATACTAGAACATTAGACATAAAAATAAACATATTTAAAATAGACACATGAATCATACATGTCAGTTAAAAACATTAGAAAAGTTAGAATACAAACAGATAAATAAAATACCACACAGAATGACCACACAGGATAAGCGGTTGACGATGAGTGAGTGAATTAAGACCAGCAACCTACCAGTAAAAATGAATAATGAATGAATATGAAAAATGAATAATATACAACTACACTAATTAGTTATTAAGACCGATAGTTGACCAATAAAAATAATAAGACACTTGAGTTATAACCAATGTAATAAGTAAGATTAAAATAAGATAAATATTTGAGTATCAAAACTAAAATATTAGTTAAGACTGACAAACAAGACTACTGAAAGACGTAGCTCAGAAGGAATGTATTGAGTTTGGTTAAAAAAGACAATAACGTTGGGGCACACCTAACATGATTAAATAGGAATTTCCAGCGGCTTGGAGCATAAAAGGTAAGGGCAGTTTCACCACTCTTTATGGAGAAATAAGAGATGGAGAAATAATTAGACAGCCTGTTCCAGATGGCCCAGTGGTATCTAGCTGGTTCATAGCTCACAATCATATCAACTATTTTCCATAGGCATGCACCAGTCCACCAGCTGGGAATCGGAACGGGCCGGTTTTCAGCTTAATCGGCCATGACCGGTGACCAGCGCAGAGCAACGTTAAATGTTCGATTTTCTGCCGGTCACATTAATCGTTACACATGTCCTGCACTGCACGGTGTTTTACGTCATGCGCACAGTGGCACAGACAGTAACTGGTTATTGGCACAGCCATATATATATGTGTGTGTGTGTACATACATTCACTAAAACATGTCGTAGGAGTGGAAGTTCTTCACCATGAGTGAAGAAGACACAAGGCTCGCAATTTACACCTACAGAGACCCTACTGTGTATTAGACTATGTTAGAAGACACAGGCACTGTGTATATTTTAATTCAATTCAATTCAATTCAATTTTATTTATATAGCGCCAAATCACAACAACAGTTATCTCACAGCGCTTTTCATAAAAGAGCAGGTCTAGACCGTACTCTGTGATGATATTTACAGAAGCCCAACAGTTCCCACCAAGAGCAAGCACTAGGCGACAGAGGCAAGGAAAAACTTCCTTTTAAGAGGCAGAAACCTCGAGCAGAACCATGGCTCAGGGTGGGCGGCCATCTGCCTCGACCGGTTGGGGTGAGAGAGAGAGAGAGAGAGAAGAGAGAGAGAAGAGAGTGAAAGAGAGAGAGAGAGAGAAAGAGAGAGAGAGAGAGAGGGATGTAAGGAGAGAGAGAGGGGAGGGAGGCAGCCTACACAATATACACACAGAGGTACAGACAGCGAAGGTAATGTTGCTATAAACTAAATGAAAAATGGTACAGATATTTATAATAGTGTTAATGGTAACCATCGTAATGTTAATGATTATAATAACAATAAGACTAGCAACAATAGTCGTTGCAGTAGAGGGTGTCGAGCAGGAACACGGGGGCAGCAGGCGACCCGCAGCCACAGATCCAGACTCCACAGCTCCAGAGCCAGAAAACCTGCAGGAAGTGATAGGAGGAGAGAGGAGAGGGACGAGAAAGCACAAGACTACCAGAAAGGGGAGAAGTTGTGTTAGTAACATGCAATAATGGGATAAGGTTGCATACAGAGGGAGAGAAAGTAGAGGAGAGAGGAGCTCAGTGCATCATGGGAAATCCCCCGGCAGTCTAGGCCTATAGCAGCATAACTAAGGGATGGTTCAGGACTACCTGAGCCAGCCCTAACTATAAGCTTTATCAAAGAGGAAAGTCTTAAGCCTACTCTTAAATGTGGAGATGGTGTCTGCCTCCTGAACCCAAACTGGAACCTGGTTCCACAGGAGAGGAGCTTGATAGCTGAACGCTCTGGCTCCTAGTCTACTTTTGGAGACTCTAGGAACCACAAGTAACCCTGCATTCTGGGAGCGCAGTGCTCTGGTGGGGTAGTAAGGTACTATGAGCTCTTTAAGATAAGATGGTGCCTGACCATTAAGAGCTTTGTAGGTAAGAAGAATGATTTTAAATTCTATTCTGGATTTTACTGGAAGCCAATGCAAAGAAGCTAAAACAGGAGAAATGTGATCTCTTTTCCTGGTTCCTGTCAGAACACGTGCTGCAGCATTCTGGATCAGCTGAAGAGTCTTAATGGACTTTTGCTTAATGTGGGACTTAAACGACATGTCCTGATCAAAGATAACTCCAAGATTCCTCACAGTGGTGCTGGAGGCCAAGGCGATGCCATCCAGGGAAACTATATCTTTAGATAATGCGTCACGGAGGTGCTTAGGCCCCAGAACAATAACTTCAGTTTTATCTGAGTTTAACATAAGAAAATTACAGCTCATCCAGGTTTTAACATCCTGAAGGCACATTTGAAGTTTAGCTAACTGATGAGTTTCATCTGGCTTGATCGATAGATATAACTGAGTATCATCTGCATAACAATGAAAGCTTATGGAATGTTTCCTGATAATATTGCCTAAAGGAAGCATATATAAAGTGAAGAGGATTGGTCCAAGGACAGATCCTTGAGGAACTCCATGAGTAACTTTGGCGTGCATGGAGGACTCATCGTTAACATGTACAAACTGAAATCGATCTGATAAATAGGACTTAAACCAGCTTAGAGCGGTTCCTTTAATGCCAATGAAATATTCCAGTCTCTGCAATAGGATCTGATGGTCAATGGTATCAAATGCAGCACTAAGATCTAATAAAACCAGTACAGAGACAAGTCCTTTGTCTGATGCAATAAGGAGGTCATTAGTAATTTTCACCAGTGCTGTCTCTGTGCTATGATGAGCTCTAAATCCTGACTGAAAATTTTACCATCATGGAGCAGGTAGAGCAACAGTAAACACAGCTGCTGGTGCCAATGTCATTCAGAACCACGTGGTCTTGATTGGTAATTAACAAAATAAAATAATATAAAATAATGGAAACAGAATTGCGGGTAAAAAAAATACAAAACGGGAGTTATTTTTATAAAAGTCAACAGAGCAGACAGATACAGGGAGAGAGAGGTGCATGTGTGTCTGAAGGGAAAAGCGAGGTGAGCAGATTACTGTAGCGTGAGTAAACACTAAAGTAATTTTGATAATTAAGTAGAATTCAAATACTGAAATAAGAAACATAAAACATAGGTTACTAGAAATAGGGTAATGTAGTCTTTCAAAAAATTTTATAAAAAATACAAATACATCCCCCACCACTACAGTTACATAGTCTTTCTGTAGGAAACACTGAGTATAGCCTACTGCAGTTTATTTTCAGTTAGATTTTATTCGTACTAAACGCTCTGTCCAGCAGCCTAAACTGGAGCGCTTTTTATTTTGAGATGTCTGAGTGAGAGAAGGTCCTGTAACCTTAAGTTATTTAATAGTCAGTGTTTTATAATGAACATACAGTTCATTATAAACTGACCCAGTCAGAAAGGCCAGTGCTAATGGGGATCCTAATAAAATGTAAAATGTAAAAAAATGTTACAAAAATGTTTGTGTATGCTTTCAATTATAGTTCGGAATCAGCCAAAATTGGATTCGGCCGGTCAGACTTAAAAAATTGGTAATCAGAATCGGCCAGGAAAAATGTAATTGGTGCATCTCTAATCTTCCATCTTGTTTACAGTTCTCATTCCTTGTTTCCTTTTTTGATTTTGTTTGTTGTTGAGAGGCTTTTTGCCTTTATTTCATGCCATATAAACTGTTTAACTGGGGAAAACCACATATTCAATTGAACTTTGTCACAACTTTTAGTGGGATCTCCTAAACCTTTTCACCTGTTTTATATTTCTAAACAGACGGTCCAAGCAGTACCAACCACTAAGAGAAGACAACAATGGAGGCAGCTCGGCGGTAACATCAGTGCCTTTGTTGTTGTGGAACTTGTTGAGCCGACAGTCACCAGGAGAGAGTCGTCCACTGCTTCAGGGGAGGACTGTGTGAATATCATTATTGGCTCATGCACACAACATCTATAACATTAGCTAAAATATTAGCCTTATACACACACAATACTCTAACTGTAGTAATATTGTAACTCCCAGTTAATGTATTAAACCACAACTAATTAAATGAACCAGCCCCATGTACAACATGTACAGAAATAGAAAGGAGTGTGTAATAAAAGAATGTAATAAAAACATTGAAACATTTGTAGAGGAAAGTTATATTTGTTTTGACTTACAGTATTTTTTAGTAATTGGCAATGGCCATAATGTTTAATCTCTGATTTAATCAATACACTCGTACAAAACGTTATATTTTGTGTATGTATACATATATTTATACACAGCATTTTTTATCATTCTATTATTGTCTTTTTGGTTGTTAAAGCTTCTAATCAGTCATTTCAAAACACTGGCTGACTACTACAAATGACTACGTGTAATAACAAAGCAACTTGAGAGACAAAATAACTGGACATCTATTGGAGAAAGATGACCAAAGCAATCAGTAGCCTCTCTTATAGTGGCACTGCTCTAAGTCCGAAAAATATGCCACTGCACCATCACTGTCAGTGCAGCTAACAAATCAGTCAGCCAAATATAAGCACAGCACTGCTTTTGCTTCCTGTGGTTTGACACAAAGGACAGAAAACACTCTGGATAAAAAGAGTCACTGATGCCACCTGCTGAAGCTCAAGAAATTAAGTTTTCTTAGCACAACATATGAATATTCTCCCCAAAATAAACAACTTAAGTTATCTTATTTCGCTTTTCATATAGAGCAGGTTTAGACCATATTGTCTTTGTAATATTATAATATCAGTATAATAGGAGGAAAGAAAACACACAGTAGCACAGTGCACATAGTTCCACATAGCGATTTAAAATATTCGTGATGGTAATGGTAATAATACAAATGTCAGTGAATAGTAATAATAATGATAATAATAAGACTATAATATTAATTGTAGCAGTGGGTGTTGAGTAGAAACATAAGGGCAGTAGGTGGCTTGCAACCACAAATCCAGACTTCACAGCAGAAACACCTGCAGAAAGCGTCAAAAGGAGAGAGACAAGGGACGAGAAAGCACACAACTACGGGAGAGGAAAGAAGTCGAGTTAGTAACATGTATTAATGGGATACAAATGAAGATGGAGAAGAGGAGAGGGAAGAGAGGAGCTCAGTGCATCATGGGAAGTCTCCCAGCAGTCTAGGCCTATAGCAGCATTGGGGTCAAGTACCATTACTTAAGATTTGTCTGAGTTTAACATAAGCAAATTCCAGGTCATCCAGGTTTTTATGTGCTTGAAGTTTAGCTAACTGATTGGTTTCATCTGGCTTGACCAATATAATTGGGTATCATCTGTATAACGATGAAAGTTTCTGAAGTGTTTCCTGATAATATTGGCTAAAGGAAGCATATATGAATTAGATTGATCCAAGCACAAAAACTTGTAGAACTCCGTGTTTCACTCAGGTGTGCAGGGGTGATTCATTGTTAACATGTACAAATTGAGAGTGATCTGATAAATGGGACTTTTACCGGCTTAGAGTGGCTTAAATGTTCCAGTTTCTTTAATAGAATGTGATGGTCAAACAAGATAATCTAACAAGACAAGTGCTTTGACTAATACAAGTAGACGGTAATTTGTAATTTTCACAAGTGCTGTCTATCATGTAGAGCCCTGCGCGGGACTGTTTTCTTGATCCCGCTTCCGCTGATTTTGTTCCCATTACTGCCTGCTCCCGCAACATGTGTATCCACTCCCGCCCGCACCCGCAAACATTGTGACATGCAGAGTGAAAAAAAGGACACATATGTTTGTGCAAACGTTCAGAATAACCGACATAAATCATTGCATTCATTTTTGTCAGTAACAACTGAGAAGTTTTCCAAATTTTAGACTTGGCTTGCTTTGGTATTGTATTGTATAAGCCCACTTTAATCTTCTTTTCAACTTCGTTTGTTGACTCCATCTTACAGGTTGTTTTTTTTTAACAATTGCTAACAAGCATTTTTCAATAATGAGTTCACTTTTTCAAAACTCTTCACACTGTTAGCACAACAGAAGTCTATGTGGACCAAACTGAGACCGACTCTTGCCTTGCTGTAATACAAAAAGCATTGATTTAACACAAAAGACATTGAATGACCTCAGATTTCAAAATTCAAGAATTCTTTTCTCACTCAAGGTCAACCACCAGAAAAACCATGTATATCCACAGCCAACTTTGCAAATGCTTACATAGTCTTTTCAAAAACTGCATTCAAATGGACAGTGATTTGCCAAATTACCCCATTGAAATACATTCATCCTTAAAAAGATGGTTATGGAGACAAGTAGTGATATAGTATTAACTGAAATTATTAGGGCTACTGTGGTAACCAGGTAATCAACCATGGGCTATCACTGAAAGAGACTAGTCTCAGAGAGCAGCTAAATGTGGCCCACTCAACGGTGGCATCAATTCTCAGAATCTTCCAGTGAACCAACAGGTAAAATGTGTATTCTGAAAAGGCATAATTGGATACAGTCTCCTCCAAAAGTATTGAAACGGTAAGGCAAATTCCTTTGTTTTTGTTGTTCACTGAAGACATTTGGGTTTAAGAACAAAAGATGAGTATGAGACAAGAGTTCAGAATTTCAGCTCTCATTTCCTGGTATTCACATCTAGATGTGTTAAACAACTCAGGACATACCCTTTGTTTGAACCCACCCATTTTTCAAGTGAGCAAAACTATTGGAACATGTGACTGACAGATGTTTCTTGTTGCCCAGGTGTTGCCTTTTAGGTTGATTGTCCAAACATTAAGTAGCTCTGCATGACTAGTCTAAGTTTTCATCCTTGGTTCAAACCTATAAAGACTGCATTTCCTGTTAAAGAGGATAAATCAACATGAAGACCAGAGAGCTGTCTATGGGAGAAAAGCAAGCCAATGTCAAGCTGAGAAAAGAAGGAAAATCGACCAGAGCCATTGGACAAACATTGTGCGTAGCAAGTACAACAATTTGGAATGTCCTGAAAAAGAGAGAAACTACTGGTGTACTGAGCAAAAGACATTGAACAGGTCGGCCAAGGAAAACAACAGTAGTTGATGACAGAAATATTGTGAAAGCTGTGAAGAAAACACCCAGATCTGTAAGTGACATCAGCGGCGACCTCCACAGTGCAGAGGTGAAGGTATCACAATCCACTGTTCGAAGAAGACTCAGAGAGCAGAAATATAGAGGCCACAACACAAGATGCAAACCACTCATCAGCAGGAAGAATCGGATTGAAATTTGCAAAGAAGTACAGAGATGAGCCGCAAAAGTTCTGTAACACAATCTTATGGACTGATGAGACCAAGATTAATATCTACCAAAGTGATGGAAAGGCCAAAGTGTGGAGAAAGAAAGGAACTGCTTATGATTCAAAGCATACAAGCTCATCTGTGAAGCACGGTGGAGGTAATGTTATGGCTTGGGTGTGCATGGCTGCTTCTGGAACAGGCTCATTAATATTTATTGATGATGTAACTGATGATGGTAGCAGCAGAATGAATTCAGAAGTGTACAGAAACATTTTGTATGCCAATTTACGGTGAAATGCATTGAAACTAATTGGGAGGAAGTTTATCATGCAGTAGGACAATGAGCCAAAGCACACTGCCAACAAAACAAAGGACTTCATCAGGGGAAAAAAGTGCAAGGTTTTAGGCCCCATCCACACTGCTGCTTTTTCGAATTAAAACGGAGACCTTTTGCTATGTTTGCACCTCCCGTCCAGACTACAACAGCGAAAACGAAGACCTTAAACGGAGAAGTTTGGAAACGCTGCCGTTTTGCGTTTCAAATCTCCGGAGGGCGTTTTAGTGAGAACGGGCCAAAACGGAGGACTTTAGAAATGATGACGCAGCCGCTCAGGCTCGGCTCTCTGATTGGGTCTTACAAGTCATGCAAAGCAGAAACACGATGCTACTAACCGGGTTTTTAACATGGTATTTTTATTAAAATATTCTGTACCGTGCAAATAACACTTATCTGCCTACACTTGCCTACTGTGCATGTCGGCATTTACTATGCAACGACTCCCAGTCTGTTTTCCGCCGCCACAGTCCCGTGTTGCATTCAGTAACAGTCCCAGCTCGTTATTGGTGCATGCAAAAAACCCCTGCTCTGATTCTTCATCTGTATTTATTTATTCTTTCGCTAAATCTTCTGTAACTACGGAATAAACCATCTGCTTCATGTTTACACTGGCATGCGCATGCCCAGTGTACCTGAATGGCCAATAGATGTGTGTTTTCAGTCATTTTAAAGTAGACGGAGATCAACTCCAAAACGCAGCTAAAACGCTGGTGTGGACGGAGATCAGATTCATTTTAATTCTCTGTTTGTAAACTAAAGTAGTGGAGTAGTGTGGATGGGGCCTTAGACTGGCCAAGTCAATCACCTGACCTTAACCCAATAGAGCATGCATTTCACCTCCTTAAGAGGAGACTGAAGGGAGAAACACCCCGAAACACACAAGAACTGAAAGAAGCTGCGGTAAAAGCCTGGAATAGCCTCACAAATGAAGAATGCAACAGTTTGGTGATGTCGATGGGTCGCAGGCTTGAGGCAGTTATTGCAAGCAAGGGATATGCCACCAAATATTAAATGTTATTTACTTTAAGATTCTTTGTTCCAATACTTTTTCTCACCTAAGAATGCTGGGTCTAATACAAACAGTGATATGTCCTAAGTTGTTTAACACATCTAGATGTGAATACCAGGAAGCAAAAGCTGAAATTCTGAACTCTTGTCTTATACTCATCTTTTGAAATTAAACCCAAATGTCTTCAGTAAACAACAAAAACTAAGGAATTTTCCTTACTTCCAATACTTCCAATACTTCCAATAATCCAATACTTTTGGAGGGGACTGTATTACCAATGCATTCTCATCTCAATGCGTCATAACTGACATTTTTAGACGTGAGAAAGCATAAGGATTTTACGCTAAAGGTACCCTTCAGCGTCTGTATGAAACACTCCCGTTTGCTACGTTGCAGCAACTCAAGGGAGGTTAACCCTACCTGTCACGGCCGATGTACGCAGCGTTTTTGCAATATGCAACCAACAGAGTGCAAAGGATGCAGGAGAAAATTATTATTGCCATTAATGTTATTATTATGTCGGAGGTGGATGTGATACACAGGTGCACATACACATACAAGCATTCATG